AACTGGCTGGACTTGCACATTAAAGTGGATCTGAACCCAATGTGCAATAACCGATGCTGTACAGCCTCCCAGATCACTTGTAGCAGCCTGCTAATGTACTAACGCCCATTCACCAATCTGCTCTGTGATGAGTGCATGGAGTGCTGCTCTGTCAGAAGCCGGAGGAAGTACCACTTACGCACATTCCTGTGCTTGATGGTCTGTATTGGAGGGCAGGGGTTTAATAACCGCAAAAAAATCCCAGCACACTCACCGGCCAGCATGCAAAAAATAAAACATGTCTCACCGCTAAGGTTATAAGCAGAGGTTTAGATACACGTCTTCTGCAGAAAATGTGAAAGCCGCACAGCCGCGCCAAGGCACCTCTATATAGTGCGGTCCGAACTCTAAACTATGGAGCACATGGGGGCAAAGGATCAAATTGGGTGCAGGTTTGTCAGGAGGAAGCCAAACCTCCCTTAAAGGCACAGGGACACACAAGGGACCCCGCACATCACAACGGCAGCTGAGACCCCCCCATGCGTCACTGCACCAAATCAGTCAAGCAAAACAAATGGCAAACACACTCAACAATTCATTACCACCTTTTACAGCAAGGTGCACATGGAAGGGCTTTAAACAGTAATAGCAAAAAGGGGGTCGGGCTTCCTCCTGTCAAACCTGCACCCAATTTGATCTTTTGCCACATGTGCTCCAAGATGGAGACTTTCACAGATTAGAGTTAGGACCGCACTATAGAGGTGGCTGTGCGGCTTTCACATATTCTGCAGAAGACGTGTATCTAAACCTCTGTTTTTAACTTTAGCGGTTAGACAGGTTTTTTTTGCATGCTGGCTGGTGAGTGTGCTGGGAAACTTTTTGCTGTTTAAAGCCCTTCCCTGTGCACCTTGCTGTAAAGCTGGTAACAAATTGATGAGTGCGTTTGCCATTTGTTTAGCAGGGGTTTAATAGACGCACGTTCATGCATTGTGAACGGGGCCTCACTGTCATCCAAAGCAAAAACAAACTACTACAGAGAGATGAACACACTTCTATATACGAGCGTGTCAGTGAAATGGTTTCCAGGCCAAGCTGTCCAGGAATTGTCAGAGAGCTGGGATAAACCATGTAACACTAATGGGGGGGTGGTTACAATGCTCGGCTTTTATTCATTTATCCCTTGTAGGGATCATCTCATTGTTGCTGTAACTACTTAAAAGGTGTTATCTGGTGTTCAGATTTAATTTGTGAGTCAAGTCTTTCTAAATCTGCGAGTCCATCTAACACCACCCTCCCCACAGGGTGATAATGCCACTGTCCGAGGGGCTCCATTGCTCCTCCACAGAGTGGAGTCACCCTAAGACCGCAAGTGTGTTACTGGCTGGATCACCGAGTGAAAATAAAGGTGAAAAAGAATGCAGCCGCCACAGCTAAGGATTGCTCAGCTGCAATATATTACGTCTTTGGGTTTAGATTTACTTTAAGAATAGGGATCTAGGATAAGGCATCTGTAACTACATGTGACGTTGTTGTTGTTGGGTTTAGATACACTTGAGGAGAATAGGGATCTAGTATAAGGCATCTGTAACTACATGTGATGATGTTGTTGGGTTTAGATACGCTTAAGGAGAATAGGGATCTAGTATAAGGCATCTGTAACTACATGTGATGTTGTTGGGTTTAGATACGCTTTAGGAGAATAGGGATCTAGTATAAGACGTATGTAACTACATGTGACATTGTTGGGTTTAGATACACTTTAGGAGGATAGGGATCTACTGTAGTATAAGGCATCTGTAACTACATGTGACGTTGTTGGGTTTAGATACACTTTAGGAGAATAGGGATCTAGTATAAGGCATCTGTAACTACATGGGATGTTGTTGTTGGGTTTAGAAACGCTTTAGGAGAATAGGGATCTAGTATAAGGCATCTGTAACTACATGTGATTATGTTGTTGGGTTTAGATACGCTTTAGGAGAATAGGGATCTAGTATAAGGCATATGGGACATTGTTTTGGGGTTTAGATACGCTTTAGGAGAATAGGGATCTAGTATAAGGCATATGTGACATTGTTTGGGGGTTTAGATACACTTTAGGAGAATAGGGATCTAGTATAAGGCATATGTAACTACATGTGATGACGTTGTTGGGTTTAGATACACTTTAAAGGAAAACACTCCTTTTATTGGAATGATACAGCAAGATGAACAATCTTTCTGCAGCTTCGCCCATATAAATGTGAATTGTTCCTCTGGACTGTATGTGATGTCCTACATCAAGCATTGTGATTGAAGACGGTCCTGCCAGCCACTGATTGTAAGCTCTTCAGAACAGAAAGCCATTGTGTAGCTAATCACTAGAAGAGGACCCTGAATGGCGCCCAGTGTGTCCCCATCGCAGTGAATGACACTCAATGCCTTGTATCACACAGCGGAGAGAAATACACGTGTTATCTGTGAATGCAGCAACACTGGTACGGAGTATGTACACGAGGATGATGAGGATCTTACTCCAGACTCCACCTCCATGTACCGGGTGATTCCCCACATACAAGGTACGAGGTCGGCCCGTATTCTGGGAACACCCGAGTGGTTACATTTGATTTTTATTTATTTGTATACAGTATTTTAAACTTTGTATCCCACAAATAACTGAATCTTCCAACCCCCCAAACTATCCAGAACCAAACCCTCCCCCCCAAGAAAATAGCTGGACTTATACTTTATAGGAAATCTTTACTTTCATGAATTGTTACAATCAGTTGTTGCATTACATGATATATAAGCACAGGAGAAAGCAAGTAATGTCTGGAGCCCCCACTACATGCTGCATCACAGCTTCATTTGCTGCCAGTACTTCCAGGTATGGAGGAATCTAGCGGCGTCACCTGGGAACTGACTGGCCCAAGCGCCGTCACCTGGGAACGGACTGGCCCAAGCGCCGTCACCTGGGAACGGACTGGCCCAAGCGCCGTCACCTGGGAACGGACTGGCCCAAGCGCCGTCACCTGGGAACGGACTGGCCCAAGCGCCGTCACCTGGGAACGGACTGGCCCAAGCGCCGTCACCTGGGAACGGACTGGCCCAAGCGCCGTCACCTGGGAACGGACTGGCCCAAGCGCCGTCACCTGGGAACGGACTGGCCCAAGCGCCGTCACCTGGGAACGGACTGGCCCAAGCGCCGTCACCTGGGAACGGACTGGCCCAAGCGCCGTCACCTGGGAACGGACTGGCCCAAGCGCCGTCACCTGGGAACGGACTGGCCCAAGCGCCGTCACCTGGGAACGGACTGGCCCAAGCGCCGTCACCTGGGAACGGACTGGCCCAAGCGCCGTCACCTGGGAACGGACTGGCCCAAGCGCCGTCACCTGGGAACGGACTGGCCCAAGCGCCGTCACCTGGGAACGGACTGGCCCAAGCGCCGTCACCTGGGAACGGACTGGCCCAAGCGCCGTCACCTGGGAACGGACTGGCCCAAGCGCCGTCACCTGGGAACGGACTGGCCCAAGCGCCGTCACCTGGGAACGGACTGGCCCAAGCGCCGTCACCTGGGAACGGACTGGCCCAAGCGCCGTCACCTGGGAACGGACTGGCCCAAGCGCCGTCACCTGGGAACGGACTGGCCCAAGCGCCGTCACCTGGGAACGGACTGGCCCAAGCGCCGTCACCTGGGAACGGACTGGCCCAAGCGCCGTCACCTGGGAACTGACTGGCCCGGTCGCCACCGCACTCACCTCATAGTTCTCCTTTAATCATGCCCTCTAATGCTGGGCACACACCTTACAACCATCGCAAGACTTTTGTCTTGCGATTTGTTTTTAACTACCTCCGGGCCGGCCGTTCAGGAGCTCTCTCGATCTGAGTGGGCGTCTCTAGACGTCCGCTCAGACACGCCCCCTTGCGAGCGGGAAATGGCCGGAATTTAAAAATGTAAATTTAAAAACGGGCAGCGATGCCCGTTAATATACATGCGATCCGCCGGCTGTAGAGCCGGCCGATCGCATGTAAGTAATTAGAAAAAACGTATGATCTGCCTATCTTTGGACAGGCAGATCGTACTCGCGATGATCGCAAGCCCGCCCTGCTGAGCGGCGGGCTTCCGATGACCGCAATGCTGAACGGGCAGTGTGCGCTTGCGCACACCGGCACGTGCGGCACGTGCGGCATTTATCTTACGAACATGCCACAAACCAGCCTACAATCGTACGATTCTCCGTGGGTTTTCGAACATGTTCGTAAGATAAAAGTCTTGAGACCGTACAGTAGCAGAGGTCTCACACCTTCCACACACCTCCCCAATCTCGGGATTTCCCACGATTATCGTACAATTATCGCAAGGTGTGTGGGCACCTTTACACTTTACAAACTACCGATGTAAGGCTAAACGGTCTGTAGTTCCCCGGATGGCATCTGGACCCTTTTTTGAATATCGGAACTACCGTAGCCCTCCGCCAGTCAATTGGCACTCTGCCAGTCATTAAGGAATCTTTACAAATGATGAATAATGGTCCCGCTATAACCTGGTTTAGTTCTTTAAGTACCTTGGGGTGCAGGTTACCTGGTCCTAATGCTTTATTTGCATTAAGTAGTTCTAGTCTGTGTTGTATCTCGGTTTTCATCAACCACTGTGGTATATTTTGAGATGAGCTATGTGCGTTCTTATCTACAGGTAGGACCGCACAGATCTCGGAGCTGAAGGTTCAGCTGAAAGTCACATTGTCCCTGGAAAGTAATTTGTCAAATGGCCACTAGAGGGAGCTTTGTACTACTCCTCATATACCCGTAGGGTGGTGCAGCTCCATGTACATTGTTGGCTCACCTCTGCCAGAATGAATG